TTTTGTAACATGTAACCATAAAAATTAGGTCTAAAATACGTGGCAGTAGGTCTAAATCTTAATCCCAATGCTCGCACTGCGCCCTACGGTCTTCTGTGAAGTGCACTTGGAGGAAGTGTGCAGTAAGGCTTCGAATGCATGGTACACATGTGTGCAAATAATTGCCGAATTTGGACAGGGAGCGTTGTGTCATCAACACATGCTGGTCGCTGTGCTACTTTTTAAAAATCCTTCATTAACAACTTTCAACCAAGCAATCAGTTTAACTAAATTTACATGAATTTTGTCTAAACAAAGGGAGGTAACGCTGGTCCTAGAGAGCCACAGTGCTGCATGTTTTCCAGCCATGCAAGAACTTGCATCTTCTAACTGGCTGAACACACCTGATCCAGGTAATCAACATCCGGAACAACAAATATAGTTGGAAAACAAGCAGGGCTGCGGCTCTCTAGGACCAGGGTTGCCTACCCCTGGTCTAAAACATTCAGAGCATCAATTAATGAACTATAGGAACCTAAAATGAACTACTTTCATTTGAAAAACATACTTTCAGAAAAAGCACTTGAGCCTTTTCTCTCGCACCATTGAATTGTGTGTAATAATCCAAGTCCACATTGATATAGACTAGGGTGAAGTGCGGATCAAAGGTGCAAAAGGGGCTCAACTTCTGCAGTTGAGAATCAGGACACCCTACGCACTCACTCCCCTGGCCGGGATTGTGCAATTGAAGGGCGCAAGCGTGAAAGGGCGAGTATTGGGATTGGGCTTCAGTCTCTGGGCGATGCCATATTAGACGCCATTTTTCCTTCTACGGAAGCCCGTGAGGACAAAATGCATTCACTGATTTGTAACATGCAGTTACCAAACATTCACCATTCATAAAAGTTTTACACATTTACCTCTTCACTCCTTGCCAGTAATGAAAGGGATCTGATGAAGTACTCATTCGAAAAATGCGCTCCCAGGGATTTTTCATCTGTTGGTAAGGTCTAAACACACAAAAACATAGCTTGCTTGCAATTACTTGCCTCTCTCTATTACCAGGGGAAATTTTTACTTTACTTCACTTTAAAATTAAACTTCAGTATAATCCAGTCCAGTCTTTTCCAAATATGTTTGAAATTCTTGATTCCTAGCTTTACGCTGACTCTAAAACAGCTATAAAGTGTTTCTGATGGGTTTAGGTTGATCTTAATTCCAGATACGGAGTGCACAGGGTGGGGCCAGACACAAAGTGCTCAGTAATGGGTGAAATAATTGGTGAAAAGAGACTGGGTTGTCAAAACAGCCCAGGCATTGCGAGGTTGATAAGCGAGAGAATGTGAATCTTTATCGAGAAGCACGGCCACCGAGCCAGAGGTACAAACCAGCTGAAAACGCAGGCTCCCCCTTGGGCTCTCACATCAACCATCAAATGCTTGAGGTTCATTTGGTAGGTCACATCATTCACCAATTATTTGGAGTTTATGCAAAGATGAAATGATTTTAGTTGGCGGAGAGGAATTTAAAATGCACTTTATAGATATACTTGACTTGCAATGAGATCTAGTTGCAAGGCCGCTGAATCCAAAGTTTTTTATGTGTGACTCTGCCCTGCAAGTTTAACTAAAAGAGCCTTCTCATGCTTTTATAAAAAGTCGCAGTGCACACGGGTTTATTCTTCTTAGAAAGCTGTGATATTCCATTTCAGAAAAATTGATCTTACAGTTGAGAAGTGATAACGTTTATTTTTTTATTCATTGCCAACGTCATGTAAGTTAATAAGATTTTGTGGCCTTCGAGAGTGTATCAACATGTTTGGTTTGATTGTATCTCCAGAAAGAGCTGCTGAATGAGGACAGCAGTACTTCTAAAGAAAGGTTCTGTTGACTTTTTGAGAAGGTTTTGAATCTTGGGGTCACCTCCATTAAAGTACAGATGGCGTCCCCCTTTTGAATAATGATCACTTGCTTTTTGAACAAGTCCATATTTTTGTGCCTGTAAAATTACTTGCTGGGATTCAAGGCCCACGTCTCAGTTGTACAAAATTTTATTTTAAAATTCAAATCCCAAAGAAAATTGGATTTTATTTACAAGAATGCAACAAAACGAATAAATGCTGTCCAGTTTCCTAATAAATTAAATCAGTCATTTTAACTTTTTGTGACATTTAAAAGGAGAAGGCATTTTTAAGGTTTGCTTCATCACACAGCTCTGAATGAAATAATTTACTTGTAAAGAATATAAAAACCCAGATGATCTGAATAAAAAGAAAGTTTTAAAGTTGTTTATATGAAACTATTAATGCTACTGAACTGAACTCTTTGCTCTTTTAGACTCTTTCCATTGTAGTGCACATGAACTGCAACCCTGAGAACCACAACATTTCTGGTGGAGATGCTCATGAAAATGTATTCATAAAATGCTGACGTTACTTTTCCAGCTCTGTGAAAAAAAAATCAAACCATCACTTTGTGTAAGGCCAGTTTGTCGCAGAGCGGTGACTGTAAGCTACTAACGTGAACAGAATTTGTGAAAAAAGCATCCTCACAAGTTGCTTTCGAATTTTAAACATGTTTAAAAACAATTCTCAAAAAGTCACTTTTGCGGCCTTTCTCAGTTTAGTCATAGGTCAGAAAGTGTGAGGTAACTTTTAAGAGGCCACTCAGCTCAGTAAAAAAGGGTAAGCTGACATTAATGATTTACAATTGTTATTCATTTGCTGCTGCATTACGTGAACCAAACGTTTAATGAAAGTTGCAGCAAAAGTGTCGTTTGCACCGATTCCATTTGATTCCAAGCGAAATTTTGCAGATTTTCTCATAGAGGTTTGTGCACCTCCAGCTAAAATGTCTGCCTCCAGAGAAATGTGTGGAAGCTGCTTAAACGTTTGGCATTGAACTGTTCCAACCATCATTAAAATAGTAAAAATTACAAAAAAAAAATACTCCTTTTCCTTACATTTAAATCTAATTCAGAGTCAGAAAACCAGCTCTCTCATTGCACTCATGACCTGTTTTTTCCCTTCAAAAGGGAAAGTGGAAAACATAAAAAAAATCACTTTATGAAAACTTCAAATTAAAAGCTTCAAAAGTGCTCGAAGGACAACGACAGCTTTGTTCTCTCAGATTGAGGCTAAAGCTTTAGCAGCTGGCATTAATCAGTAAAAAAGAATTAAAACTTGAGTTGGACCTGAAGTTCAAGCTGACTAGATCTACTGAATCAAGTGTGTTTAAAAGAGAGTGACCTTATTTATAATAGCACTAATAATTCTGTCTCTACGTGGCAACATCTTCAGCTTAACCAACTCCTTCTTAACTTAAATCCATGAAATATTTCAGCTCTCTGTCAGCCTGCTTACTTTTGTGGAAAGTCAATAAAAGTTTAATGATTCGTTTTACAATATTTCCCCTATTTAGACAATTATTTTGTCTCAAAAGACCTGTTTTCATTATCAGAACTTCTGGGACCTTTCCGACATGCAGACATCTCCATTTCAGTGTGCTGTCCTTAAAGGATCTTTTTCCGGTTCATTTCAGGAATCGTCCAAGTACCTAAACTGGGTTGTTTAGTGGCGGGACTCGTAGCATTCAAGAGCCGTTTACCTCAACGAACGAACGATTCTTTACAAGGACTCGGCTCTCATCATTCACTTTGAAGAGCTGTTGAAAAGATTTGATTCGTTCATGAATGTCACATCACAAGGGGGATGTACTTGGAAATGCCCCGGTAGAGTCGCCGGGCAGGTCAACTTGGGCTGATTGGTTGTCACTCAGATTAGAGATATGCAAACAACTGGCATCTATAAAAGTTGTTGGTGAAGTGGAATGGAAGAAAAAGAAAAGAATCATTTGTGCTTCTTTAAAATCTCTGTTTCTAAACGTCCAATGCCAAAAACTGCGATGGAAGTTCCCCCACAACGCCATCATTTACGCTGTTATCTGGTGTACTACAGAGCACCGTAAAAAACGATGAGCGCTCTGGTCACTGAACGCCACTTTTAACATCACACAGCCACTCTGCCCACCGCCTGAATGAAATAAGTTACAGCATACTTTGTCACAATAAAACTTTTTAAATGCTATTAATGTACGTGGACACCTTTTGGCACTGATCAGTGACATCTCTCACTGCCAAAGCGGTCCAGATATGCAGACGTCTCATCAAAGTCCTGAAAGGACGGATTTTGTGTGGAGACACAGCAGCTGAGGGGAGCGTACTGTAGTACTTTCCTTGTCACCTTCTCCCCTCCCAGTACTTCCCTGACGCTCCCATAGGGGAAACACAGCATGACTTTATTATAGCCAAAGGACTGCTTTTTGAAAATCAAGCGTGGTTGTCCTGGTCCACAAACGCTGAAAGGTTCCTTCAAATTGAGCAAATGAAGCACTCGCGAAGTCTTTGTGTCAACACTGAGGCATCGTGCGGATATCATAGAGGTACAAATTTAAGGGTCAAGTCAGCCTTTTCAGAGCTTTTAGAGCAGGCCACACCGACTGCTGCTGAGAGATTATGTGAGATGGGAATTGCTATGATAACCAATTATCTGTGGCCTTTATTTTCCCTGCAGCCATCAGCAAGCTTATTATCATGTCCCTGTCTGCTCCGCTCCACTCTTCCCTCATAGCAAACAGGTCTAATTGTGTCTCGTAGCTGCAGGCTCAGAGCAGAGGGGAGAGCGGGCTTAGATGAGTGATGCTCAGTGATGTAAATGGCTGAATAATACGACCCCATCGTTTGCGGTGGAGTTCTATCTCTCTGTGGTAATCTGGGCCATCGGGGACCCGCCAGTGTGCATCATCCACTATCAATGAGCCTCTCTGCTGGTTGGTAATTTATTCAGTGCTACAGTGGTTATTGATAAAGCACTTAAATACAAATTCCCCTCCTTTGCCGCCTTCCCCCATTCAGTGCTGTCAAATCACAGCGTGTGTTTATCTGCTTATACCGTCTGTGTTGATCTCAGGTCGAGTCTTTGTTTACACTTCTACCTCTCTTTCTCTCTACCTGAAAATTGTCAGGAGCTCGTGACGGATCGGTTCAGTCTGACGCCAGCAGCAGTCCCTCAGAGCAGAGTCAACTGGGACAGTCTCACCCAGGATACCCAATGGGCCCACAGGTGAGTGGAAAGATATGCATGCATGCACATGCACACACACACACACACACACACACACACACACGCACACGCACGCACGCACACACACACACACACACACACACACACACACACACACACACACACACACACACACAAACACACACACACACACACACACACACACACACACACAAACACACACACACACACACACACACACACAGTGCTTCAGCTACCTGGGACGTAGTTCCCTACCTTTGCATCTTCCTTTGGACAACAGTCTTTGACAACAATCATATGTCTGTGAGTGCCAGTATGGAAAATACGCTTAATTTTAATTGTGAAACCCTTCATATATTGTGTTTAATAACTTTTTTACAGTTTGGCGGTGATAAATTGCTAATCAGTTTAAGCACATTTGACACAAGCAATTAATTAAACAGGAAACAGGATCTTATGGTAGGTTTCTGTTAGTAACCCCACTTACTTTTAATCATGTTTTCAGCTTTATCTAGCTTCTAATTAACTGTCTTGAAGTGATCCACACAAAGAATTTACCGGATTAATGAGTTTATTTAGCTAAGAATGCTGCAAATAATTATGATGTTCAGTTTTTATTTTTATTTTTTATCTAACATCTCTCTAATAAGTGGGCAGACTGTGGATACCCAACAAAGCTACATTAATGTAAACGGGTGATGTGTTGTGCGCATGCGCTGTTATCTTTGAGCGGCTGGACTGGGGGCGGAGTTTCTGACCCTCAGTCGGTCGCAGGCTGTTTTTCCTGGTTCTGGTGAAGCTTTTGAATAAACTGAGACATGTTCCTGTACTCCAAAGGTATTTTGTCTATCTCTTCTTTGTCCTGGGTCCACTAGCTTGAACACCTACAGCTCAAAGAGTTATTCAAATTTTGTAAAAAGATTAAGAGTAAAAGGTTTGATTGAACCAAGGCATCTAACCAGTATTTTACTGGACTCTGTTGTTGACTGATCAGAGCAGGGGTGTCCAAACGAGGGCCTATTGTCAAGTGAGTCCTCGCGGGCCATAAAAAGGAAATTATTTTATTTAAAAAAATACAAAAATTAGTTTTGTGGTTTTGTCCCATGCATACTCCTCAGAATAGATCCAAAATAGGCTCCCAACATAAAAATGTCACTCTACATCAGTGGTTGACAAAATGGGGTGCAGGATCCAGAAAGGAGTCCCCACACGATCTCAGGGGATCCCCACAATTTTGTCTGTGCTAAGGTTGCAAGGTTAAAAAATTTTTATTTGTATAAATTAGATAAGATTAGATCAAAATGTCTAAATGATATCTCTGTATGTCTGTATAAAGTTTGTAAATGATCACATTTAATGTGTGTATGTGTGTAGGACTTGGGGTTGGGGTCCTTAAGGAAGCAAGTTTGGGAAACCCTGCTCTTCATCAACAACCTGCTGAAAAGACAAGTGTATCGATCTAGAAATGCCATCAGGCTTTCACAAAATCACTCCAAGGGCCACAAATGGCCCTTCAGCCACACTTTGGACACGCCTGGATTAGAGGTGTAATATTACAGGAAAATAATTGAAAATTTCAACTGATACCACACTATATTTAAATTTAGTAAAACTTTTGCTAATAAAAAAAAAACACCTGTAAAAAAAATTCTGACATTTATGTGAAATTTTTCCTTTTAGTCACAAATTATTGTAATTGTTTTTCCAAGTTAATTCTGACTTTAATCACGTTTTTGTTGCACTCAGAGTATCAGTTTCTTTATCATCTCTAATCAGTCACTGCTTGGTTTCACAGGTTACTAGCTCCTCCCACTTTCTGAGTCACTGAAACTAGACTCGTGACAACTTTTACACTTAGACAGCTGAGCCCAGTGAAATTCTGGTTTTACGTTTACACTATTGGTCAAAGATGACCGGAAGAATAAACCTTTCACAATAAAATGGTTTTATTTGTTTTGCAACATGCACTTCATTTCAGGACATGTGGTGAGTGAGATGCATAAACACCCTCAGCGTATGCTACAATGTGAAATGCTAAAATATTTAGCCGTCATACATCATCTGCGTGTAATTGAGCTGTTAATGATAATGAGCGGACAATACAGGCTCTGTCAAAACAAGCAGGGGAGCAAAGCGCCTCGGCCTGCAGCCTCGTTAATAGCTCAATCAGGCGTTGTCCTATCCGATTGGATTTATTGGCCTGGTGCCTCAGTGATGTTTAATGAACATCTATCTCATTAGTGCTGCTCAATGTCACCGCTCAACACACACAAAGCATCAGGGCTTCTCCACCCTCCTTAATAAGGCCATTCTCCCTGCACTCAGTGTTACTCCATGACAGGCAGCACTCATCAGGACAGACAAAAGCTGTGTTTTCTCTGTAGGAGTTCTGGGAAAATTCTGGGAGGAGGGAAGACGATGGGGAAAAAAACCCCGGCTTGGTCCTCTCAGCCGTCATGTCTTCATACAAAATCAGCCCTTTCAGGAAATCAGCATATCTGTTTGAGTGACGTCACTGATCAGCACCGAAAGACATCCACAGACATTAAGAACATTAAAAGTTTTATTCCGTCAAAGTACGGCATGATTTAATCCATTCAGGGGACAGGGACAGGAGCCGTGTGATGTCAAAGCTGTGTTCAGTGGCTATTGTTTACAGCACTTTGTAGGAGGCCACAAAGCCCCGTGAATTCTGACGTTGTGGGGGTTTTCCACAGCATTTTTCTATGTTGGGAGTTTAGAAACCGCAATGTTAAATCTGTGTAAATGCTGCTTATCTAATAATAATAATAATAATGCATTGAACTTATATAGCGCTTTTCTAGACACCCAAAGACGCTTTCACACACTCTCACATTCACACACTGCTAGTAATGGTAAGCTACTTGTAGCCACAGCCGCCCTGGGGAGGTCTGACAGAGGCGAGGCTGCCATTTGGCGCCGTCGGCCCCTCTGACCACCACTAACACAGGCAAGTTGGGTGAAGTGTCTTGCCCAAGGACACAACAGCAGGATACCCCTGGCGGGAGCTGGAATCGAACCCATGACCCTCCGATCATGAGGCAACCTGCTCTACCACCTGAGCTACTGCTTCCATTCTGCTTTGCCGGTCACTCTTCCAATTTAACAAATTCCAGTTGTTTGGCAACGTCTTCCAACATGTCCTATTACAACCAGTCTTCATGACCTCGGGCTGGGCGATATATCAATATTTTTAAAAATATGGATACAAAATCAAACAAGGTGACTCAGTATTGTTTATATCGAAATAAATACACAACCAGTGTATTTCTAGAGTTAGCAGGTGCAGCTACCGTTAGTTTGCTCCGTCATTACATGTGTCTTCACGTGCCTAGGTCAATGTTCTGCCCTGATCATTGCATTTGGCTTTCTGGTGTTTAATTATTTGGGGACGTCCGCTCATGTTTTAGCCTTTTCACCATGGCTGCTGAGGAGATTTTTTTATCCGGCTTGTGTGGAGAGACGGGTCAAACTCCTCTCTTGTGTAATCGAGAGATGGGTTCGGAGAGCTGCTGATCAGTTTATGTTTTCAGCTTTTCAAGACAGCTTGAAGGGAGTTAACTTGTAAATATTTTACAGGAGGAAAAATATAGAGATACACATTGTATATCAAAATTCAGCTAAAAGATATTGAGATATAAATTTTGGTCCATGTCGCCTAGCCTTAGCATGACTTAAACCACAAGTCCCGCCTAGCGTCACTACTGGGACATTTCCGAGTACATATCCCAGTTCAGGTACTTGGCTGGTCCTTGAAATCTTTCCTTTCGTGCCAGCCCAGTGAAATGGAGACACCTGCTTGGAAAGTCTGGTAAAATTGCCCAGGTGTTCAAATAGTGTAAACAGGCTTAAAGAGGGAGAACACAAGGCAACGGGAGGGCTGTTGAGCTTAGCCAAGCAGGTTGGAAGGGTGAGAAATCCCAATTCAAAGAGCAAATCTTCTGTTAAGTGTTGGAAAATGCTTAAAGCTCTTTTCTGGTTCCACAGACCTGGTCAAAGATGCTGCTGATAATAGATAACAAAAAACCTCAAGAGGAAAAGCAGCTGAAGCAAGCAGCGGTTCCAGTCTGAGCCTCAGCAGGCGGCTCTCAACAGTCACCATCTAATGTATTAATGCTGTCAGTACAGTCTCTGTGAAGCTAACACTTTTCAGAAACAAAAGCACCCTGCATGCCGTACCCAATTCTCTTGTTCCAGGATCAATATGTTTTGATAGATTCTCGCCCCAGAGCCGGATATTGTTCGAACAACCATTATCTGATGGTAGTTTACCCAACATGAATCTACCTTCTTTCTGTTTCCCCAATTGCAGTTAGGATGACAAAAGTCTGCTATCTGTGTGATTATGGGCAATTTCTCAGTGCCAGAGCTGCCAAGCAGATAGAAGGGCCCATTCTCCCCTGATGAGCGGAGCAGCAGGGTACGGCATCCAGTCCAGAGTGGGTCAGCTTCCTCTTCCAGAGCTCAACACTAACCCAGTCTGTGGATCCGCGTGGCCCCTAGGAGACCACTTCTCAACACGGAGCTGTCAGGTCTGCCAAGTACTGCTGCCACTTTTAAAGAGAGGAAAGCAGAGAGTTTCAGGCCAAAACCCTCAAACCAAGCTGAGCAGGGTTTTAGATTCACAGCAAAGCTTAATAAATGTACCCTTGCTGTGTAAAATCACTTTTAACTCACCTCATCGTGACAGAGACTAAACATCAGAGATCTTCACCAGCTTTCTCTCAGCAGCTGCTCCTCCAAAGCTGTCTGTAATGATAAATAAATCAGCGCTCTGTCTCATAATTGTGGGATTGTCTTTTAATGTTATTCTCTTCTATGTTTGGGCTGTCTTTACTGTCAAGCTGGGCAATCTCATGTTGTTTGATTCAGAGATGAAATGTTTGAAGAGCTCTTTTGATTGTGCGCTGCTTCTATTAGATTTAGTCCAAAAAAGCCGGATTACAAATGTGACACTAGCAGCTAACAAGCCCGTCGTCTGTGTCGGCATCCTTTGAGGATTCTGCAAGCTCCCAAATAATTAATTTGTTTATTTAAATTTAATGGCAAGCGATGTTACGAATGCTCTCAGATGCTCCAGATTGTCATTTGTTGTATATCAAAGCAAATGTTGAGAAAAAGAAACCCTTTGGGGAACAATCCAGTTAACATTCACCTCTACCAGATGTTATTTTACAATGCAGAGAATAATTCATTTGTTTTTTAATTTATTTTTTCTTTACCTGAGATTTTTTTTTTTTTTTTTTTTGCAAAGTCAGAGCCGGCACAGGCCTTCTGCATTGTGCAGAGTTATCACAGTGGCATGGCTGTCACCCAGGAGCACCAGGCCTGAGACAAGGGTGGGCTTTTCTCACCAGTCAGCCTGTTCTGCAGCCTCTGCAAGCTGCAAACACACACATACACACACACACACCATGCAAAACGAAGCGGATAGCTGACAATTGGAGTTAAAGGCTTGTGAACTTTAGTCACACTGGAGGAGCCTACCCAGTGCAACCAGGCGTGTCCAGCAATGTCTAAAGCAGCCTGCTTTACCGTGGAAACGACACGAGCTGACATTATGCTTTTATTACTTTCCTTCAAACAATTCTATTCCCTGTTGGTGGTTTTATTTTTAGAATCTACTCTCTCATGTGTCTTGAGGACATAGTTGGGACCAGTTTGACTTAGGTTTAGTTAAATTAAAGATGTTTAATTACACAGAGTTGTGCCTTGGTTCTGGTGTGGAACGTGTTTATCTGGACATTTGAGTGAACTATCTGATGCAGTGGTGTCCCCAAGGGTTGGGCATGGGTGGCCATCCCCACCCCCCACGTCCCAGGGAGGACAATTGTTAATAACTCATATTAATGTTCACTCAAACCATAAATTGTTATAAAATTTTATTTATTCAAGACATTAATGTGAAACAGTAAAAATTGTACAATTAATGAGTAAAGAAACAATCAGAATTAAAAAATGTGTGTGTGTGTGTGTGTGTGTGTGTGTGTGTGTGTGTGTGTGTGTGTGTGTGTGTGTGTGTGTGTGTGTGTGTGTGTGTGTGTGTCTGCAGCTCACAAATAAAAGCACTTTCAAATCTCCATAGTTCTTTTGTGAAGACTGCAATAAACAAAAAAATAAAATTATAAAATAAAGTTTGAAATAACATTTCAAATAACCAAAATGTATTTTTCTGAAATGTTTGTATTTCTCAAATTTGAGTTAAGTGTTTTGGATAAATATTGTTTTTTTAATATAAAAGAAGAAAGGAGCCATGCATCGCCACAGACTGAACTCTCCCAGAGTTACCACAAGAACCAATTTAGTGAGCCACTCCAAACTTTTCTTTGGCCCTGTCTGGCCACCCTCATCAAAATTTTCTGGGGGCACCCCTGTCCTGATAACTATCCTCTTGATTTGATCGGCAGCGACTGAACCTTGACTTATGTGAATACATTCAGGATTAGATCAGTAATCTTCATGGTGGGAAAATCAGAATCATTCAGCATTTTGGTAATCAATCACTTATTTCAAAAGTGGAGTCTGCAAATATTTGTTACGTGTGTTCTCACTTGAGTCTGTTAGACAAAAATTAGTGATAAATTAACCAACATCTACTCTACTTGTCACAGTTAAACGTTTTTCACTCTTTATTTAATGATGACGTGTTTGTGGGCGCTGTGGCCAGCTTTTATGTCTGAAGATGAAACGACCAACAACAGCTGTGTGCTGGTTCGAGACGCTCCTCACTTTTTCTCTGTATAATTTGGACTCCAAATGAAAACTGACAAAATTTTTGCCTAAAAATATCCACCAATTCTGCATCATTTTAGTGTACAGTGCCTTGTTTGGTTGTAATGCCTTGTTGAATGCGCTTTATAAATAAAATGGTATGGTATCATTTTCATCTGCATTACACGCACATTTTCTCACCAAATAAAGAAGAATCTCATTTTAACATCTTGCAAAAGTCTAGAAATAATCATTCATTTTTTTCAGAAATGTGCCATACCTTATTCTTCAATTCTATTCAGTTTATTTAAATATCGCAAAATCACAACAAGAGTCATTTCAAGGCACTTTACAAATGAAACATTTCAACTGAACCAATTCATCAGCACACTGAGTTCAGTTCATTTGGCCAGATATTTAAAAGTTGCCTCTGTTAGAAAACTCAGGAGATTTCATCAAGTCACTGACTTGTTGTGCTAGAGACTTTACAGCAATCCCCGTACTAAGCAAGCATGTAGCGACAATGGTGAGGAAAACTCCCCTTTAACAGGAAGAAACCTCCAACTAGGGCTGGGCGATATGGCCTAAAATCAATATCACGATATATTAAGGATTTCACCTTGATAACGATAAATGGACGATAACTACAGGTATGCGCAGAAACAAAAGTTGTCCACTAGATGGGGCTGTCACATGTATTACGTCGAGTCTCGAGGTGGTACAGCTTATTAAAGGGACATGAACGTTGCCAACCTACACACACATTTTCATTTTTTTATCATCAAATTTATTGACATGGGAAAAATTATCTTGATTAGAGTACGAAATTTCAATAACAATAAATTTTCGCTTTATTGCCCAGCCCTACCTCCAACAGAACCTGATCAGTATGAGCAGCCATCCGCAGCGACTCACTCGGGGTTAGAGAAGACACAGCAGACACACTGAGACACATATTTTATACAGCGTTCTAACTTTCTTCTGTCATTGAGCCAAAGTCCATAAAATCAGCAAAAATTAACATTTTTGCAATTCTGTGTTACATATACTGTAAAAATTACAAGTTGATGTTTCAATTTGAGATAAGAAATAATTGAAAATTATAAAAGTAATCAGAATACTCTTTTACTTTATTCCATAGTCAATCATAGAAAATATAACATTTTCACACATCTTTCAAGACAAAACACACACCTGTGAACGTAGCTGTGATGATGTGTGTGTCTTTGTGTGCAGTCTCTCTTGGTGGCCCAGCAGCTGGCTAATGCAGTGGGCGGCGTGATGTCAGGGGCGGCGCCAGGCATGAACCAACCCATCCTCATCCCCTTCAACGCAGGCGGACATCTGGGCGGGCAGCAGGGCCTGGTGCTCTCCCTGCCCACAGCCAACATCCAGAGCCTGGTGGCTGCTGCCGCTGCAGGGGGCCTCATGACGCTCCCCCTCCAGAACCTGCAAGGTGAGAGGAAACTGTGCAACATCAGGAATAAGAAACAAAAAACACAATAATTCAGTTTCTTAAAAAACGCTGAAGCTACGCTGATTTTAAGTGATTATTGTTTGATCAAGAAGATATCAAGATCTCTAAGTAACACATGACAAACGTTTTCCAGAGTTTTACATCCATCGTCTCGGCATAAAATGTTGTTTTTCCTTTCAAAATAAAATGCTTAGCAGGGTTCCTGACCAGGTAAGAATCCTTTGGGGATTTGTATCCCAAAAAGCAGCCATCTTCAAATCGCCTTGAGGTATAACCATATTAATTACAGGTCAGCGTTTTGCAGTGCAGCGCAAAAGCACTTTATGCCTCTTTCCTGTGCATAAGAGTTTACGGTACTTTTCCTTTTTATCCCTTACTCACCTAATCCATCCATCCACATGGCTGTACTCATCCTTTCCTTTTAAACTTTAATGCCCAAGTGTTCTCCTCTGATCATAGTTGTAAATGGTTTTCATTTTAATGTTTAAAACATTGTCTCTTTTATACCATTAGATTGAAGGATGGATGGGGAAACTGTCATTTATAAATCTTAGATGAGAGAGCTGCACTAATGTAAAAAATTGTAAAGCCGTGTGTTTTTAGGATGCCGATTACAGTAATGCCACTGCAGCACAAAGTGCAGGGAATGCTCCTATCATGTGGGGGAATGGAGGAACAGATGCCCTCAGTGAAGAAATGTGGAAGTAGAAGCCTAATGGACACAAACATGCATAAATAACAGCAGCCACCGCTGTGGGCAGAGCTTTTAATAAACCTGCGTCTATCCAGCGAGCTCTTCAATGTGTCCGTCAGCGATGGACGATAATGGGCCCAGCAGGCTCGTCTGACTCGCACGTCAACAGAGCTTCCTCCTGGTGCATGAGGGACATCCCGGAGGCTTCGCCGATCTGATGAAGTGATCGACAAACACATTGTCAGGGTATCAGAACTCCAAAACAAACACCTCTCAGTCATTCACATTGTTCAGAAGACTGACTGGCTGAATCCGGTGTGCTGATGAAATTTTCCAGCCGTGAGAGATGGAGGCGGTAAAAAATAAAATAAAAAAAGGAGTAGTGGAGAAATGCCTCTATGGCAGATCTTTTTTTAAGAGAGTGGACTGACAGAATGCCTGTTCGCACGTCCTCTTATCTGAAGGGGATGCATTGAAGGGACCTCCGTGGAGAGAAAGTGACACAAGTCACGGGTGAAGCTAAATGTCTTGACTGTGTCCGGGGCCCTCTGGCCATGAGGCGCTCCTTCACTCCGTCCTGTCCAAGTTCATCACAGCTCCACTGAATGAGGCCTGCTGGCACAGCACCTCTGTCAGACAACTGCAGCTCTGGCCTCTGCCCCCCCCCCCCCCCCTCCGGGGCTCCAGGCATGATTAATCACACACATAATCCTGCGCTGCGCTGTCGCCTGGGAGCAGTCATCTCATTTCACAACCTCGGAAGCCAGTGCGCTTTACAGCATTCACACTGCTAGCTAATTAGTGTCAGATCAGACACGAGACAGCAGCGAGGAGCTACAATAAGACAAACGGAGGAGCCCGGCCAATGTCTGTGTTTAAATGTAATGAGGCAGCTAATGACCAGCTAATAGGGCTGTTTGTCTTGTGGAATGGGTGGCTTGGGTGGAGGAATGGTGCAACAACAGCCCACAAGCTTTTCTTCTACTGTTCAGATGTGAAGTCTTGTTTTGTATTGGATCCAAATGAGTTTTCAGGCCTAAATATCCTTTTAGATGAAGCTCTGATTAAAAAAAGGAGCAAATCTAAATCAGACGAGAACATTTTGATCATATAATAAAATCCTGCGTCTCAAAGCCGACTGATGTTGACAGAAGGGAACCGACTGGTGTTCTGCGAGCCTTAAGAGCGCAGCCCTCTCCGACTGTGATGAATAACTATCACAGTAATGGGGTTGCGCTGTAAAGTTGGAGCAGTTGTTTAAACAAAAGCGAGCAGCATCTTGTGGCAGACTTGGTAAACACGGGCACCAGTGTAACTGGTTATTTGTCAGAATGATTTATGCCCGCAAACACGCAGTAAAAACAAATTCCCAATGAAACTAAACAAGGGGGAAAGTTATCTTTTGTGACAGAGCGCGCACAATTCTAGCTGACTTCACAAAGGCAAAAGTAGGTTGGGTCACGCTAGAGGTCTACGAGTGTGACGGCAGATGAGAATAAAAACGATCATTCTTGATTTTTATACATTTAGCTTTAAGTATGTGTGACTCATGCACACGAGACATTTGTAGATATTTGCTCTCAGATGTTTCTGCTGCACTTTAAATGGGGTTTGATTTTTAAAACAAGCAAAGTGTGATTACCATACTTGTAAAACTAGCTGTATCAAAGGACTGTACATGCAATTCTCTGAGGGAGGAAGCAGAACAAAGTCATCTGTCTGTTCCCCTCCTGCACGACTCCCTCAAAGGTAATTCAAGGAGCTGGTTTACTGGAGTGCTTTCATATTAATAAGCATATTCCATCTTATTTGCTCTGAGCAGAAAGCCGCGCAGCGCATCACATCACATCAGAGAGCTGAGTTCTGATGGCGAGGGTGAGAGGAACAGGCTTCCTCGTGAAGGTCGGCATCCCACTCACCTGCTGTAATGAGACTCTGTGTCAGTGCCAATCAAAGGCGCGCCTGTCGTTTGGAAGGAAACGCTCAGCGGTGTCGTTTCGCTGCTTTTGGGATTTGGCATAATACAAATGAGGGAAATCACTCTGCTCATTACAGCACCAAAGGGCGGGCTCCTGAATGTTTCCACACTAGTTAGACCCGTCACGCTGGATCTCTTCTACCTCACATGACTGCTGCTCCTTTAAGAGGCAGCCAGGCCACCTTCTTAACCTTCGTCCGCCACCGTGTCCCTTTACTCCCTTTACTCGTCACATTATCTGGACTAACGACACCCTTTCTAGTCTACCTGCTCGCTCCACACGTTTGTTTTCATTTTAACCAAGGGGGGAAAAAAGCTGCCTTTTTAGGGCTGTCTATGGTGACTGTGCACAGTTTCTCCCCTCAGCATCGGTCACGGTAACACAATGTGGGCCAAACTCATCCCTCCTCACTTATCACTGTTTAATTCAAAGCGTTCACGAGCCGTTTGCATTCCACATCGTCCCTTTAATGATTTAAGCTTGCTATGTGGTTGTAAGATGACTCGCAGGGGAGCGAGCTGCATTAAATAAATAACAGTGATAAAATGTAGACCTCATACATTTCAAAGCTAATGCAACTAGCGGTGCAATAGGAGCAGCTGCACACAGTCCTGGAGCGGTAATTTGATTGATTTGTTGTGACAGCAGCCAAATAATTGAGAGTGAGAGCTGCTGCTGGAGATGAAGCACAGGCAGAGGCAGGTTTCGCCAGGCAGTCCCAGCAGACACGGCACCCGCTTTCTCATCTCTGCCATTGATATCTACCAGTGGTTTATTGTTTGTCTTCAATAAGCAGCTTGCAAATGTGTGGGGTTGTGACAGATATAAAACAAAGGAGGAAAGAAAATCTACTAATCAAAAAAAGAAGCACGGAGCATTAAGAGGGTAGGGATCAAAAAGCCAAATTTACAGGCTGGGGTTTACTGTACATGCACACACTCCCGTGAGACTGATTTATGCTCTCATGTCTGTTTTGAAGCTGAGATGTAAGTGAATTTTACCCCTGCTGTTGCACCTGTTGCAGACATGCTAATCGTGTGTTGAGAATTCAGGTTACACGCTTGTTATAATTGCTCAAAGATAACAAACGATCCACGGTGTGTTTGAGCGTGTAGGATGTGTGTGTCCCCAGCTTCTGCCTGCTAGGAAGCAGCCGTGCTCTTTGTTTTAACCTTCTGACTCAGGCTTTACTTCTGTGGATGGTGGAAACATTTCAGCGGCGATGCCACATGACAGCACCCTGCCGCAGCTTAAAATAGAAGGAGGAAAAAGCTGGGAGGTGGGGGGGGGAGTTTTTATGGCATTGTGAAGGCAAACGATAATATTATTAATCAGATGTGGCTGTTTCTGCTGCTTCTTAGCAGACCCAGACTTCTGCCCCCACTGGTGAATACTGAAGGAGGCACTCTGCAAACCTGCTGCTGCCATACACACACAATCCACAAGATGTGCATCAACCCCCCCGTCGGCACTGTGCACACATGCATTCCCTTTAGAGGATAAAGATGAGTTTAGCATTTACAATTAGCTTAACAACAAATAGAATTTCATTTTAATTTAGCTCAAATGAGCAAATATTCACCTTAACTGGCTTCTCTCGATGTGGAGGAGCAGTGATCTACTCCCAGCCCCTCCCAGATGGGCGAGTTTCTCACCCTATCCCATTTTGCTACCAATTTACCTAAAGCTGCAATAGCAAATTTAGAATAACAATTAGCTTTAAAAAACATTTTCACGCCTCTTAATGCTCTAACAAAATATAGCTATGAATATATTGTGGAGAAGAAAAAATATATAACAAAAATGTTTTGTCTAAAAACCATCACCAATAACACGTTTCATACCAAAAGCAACCATTGGACCATCCGGTTGTTGGTCTCGCTGAACCACCACACTTTCCTGGGTCCTCCTTTCATTACACACTCACGTATTTTGCAGCAGAACATTGTTGTGAGAGGTTCTCCGCTAAATAATATCAGAGAAAGAGAAACTTTAGGACAAACTAAAGAAAAAACAAACACCATTTGAAGTCACGGACAACAAAAGACGTTGATGTTTAGCACTATCTCATTTCATCCTAGCTCGTTTGCAGATTCGTTATAACAGCTTTAACTTCATAAAATTTTTTATTCATTAACAAATTTGGAATTTTTTCTTAGATGGCACCATCTACAGGCAGAACAATGTATTGCACCATAAGCCCCTCTTCCTACTTCTGTGGCTCCATGATCTCGTTCGTGCGTCTCTAGCTGGTCAACAGAGCTAAAACACATTGTTTCACAGTTATTCTCACATTATGTTATTTATTCCTATATATAATTTAATGACTTACTTTTCCATGAGAAATGTCGCCATCATCAATCTAGATACTTACGCAAATGCTCACATCCTTTGTGACTGACATCTGTAAAGTTGGGGAATATAGTTTTGCCCATATTAGGTATTTGAAGAAGAAAAAAACAGGATGAGTGTAGGTTACCAGTGTTAACACTCCTTTAAGATGCTGTGCTACAAACTGGATGGGGTGGAGTCACATGAATTAGACATGTGACCCATCTGGTTTGTAACAAGAAGGGAGAGATGGTTAGGGAAATGGAGGAAATGAAACGCTGGAGCAGTGGACAGAGCAGCAGGTAGCAGCCGCTGGCAGTGAACAAATCCAAAATGTTGCCAAACAGCTGTTAAAGAATATTTGTGGGAATCGGCTTGTCTTTGACTAAATCTACCAACAATCCTTCTAACTGCTGCTGTTATCGTTAATTTATCGTTGTTGGGGTGAACTGCTCAACATATCGTGTTTTTGATTTGAGGCCATATCGTCCAGCCCTGCATCTGTACTGTAGGTTAGCAGATGTCTACCGCTATTGGCCAATGCAGAGTGGTACTCAATTCAGATTGTATAGGGCTCTATTGGATGGGGTGGGCACAGTCAAAAAGATTGACCCATTGCCTACATGATATCTCAGTACAGGGTAGGACCATGGTTTTCTAAAAAAGTCATACATTATTCCTGAAAGGGGGAAATTTCAGATTGCTGCTTTAAACATATCTGACATTTATGATTCCCACCTTGTTGCACAAATAGATTAGGTATCCTCATAATTATGTACAATCAATAGAGTTTATCTTTTCATTATGAGTTATTTTATCACTGAGTGGACTCGTCAATGACCGGGTTCAGCAAATGAGGGGTATTGAGCGGTATAGAGATTACAGCACGTTTCAGGGTGTTGTTTCCATGATATTTCAGGGCTTGTAAAGTTCTTCCAGTAAATGCCTTGACCGCTTGACCCCAGAGTTGTTTTGTCGAAATTACATCTCACTTTTTGCTTCCTCTTTTCTGGCCACACTGTTTCCGAAAGAGTTGCTAAAGGTCTGGGAGATTGCCGAGCCACAATCCAGAAGCTTTCAGCAACAATCGGTAGTCAAGCATTTTAAATGAAAATTGATTTGTGATTTACATGGTCAGTAAGGGGAAAATGAACTTATGAAAGGCTGTAAATGAAATATTAGAACAAGGTGCAGCAGGAGGGAGCAGACAGAGATGGTAATCTTGTGGAACTGGAATTCCTGCCCGACAGAACTGGGTGACATTTTACATTTATCTGTGTTCTGCATGAGTTGTAATGTTAATGGTAATTTTATGGGACTGAACTGGAATGAAAATGGTGTTATCACCAACTGCTTCAAATGGGGGATTGTGTAAAGCAGCACAGCTGCATCCTTTATTTCCTTTTCCTCGGTAATGTGAGTTATTGCACGATCTGTCATCTGCGGTTGAATGCGTGTATTCAGCCTATTTTTATCATCCCGCTCTACTTAGAGAACCCTATGGCTCACGTTTCCCAAACACACAAGCTGCTGTGTTTTGGTATCAATATAAAAACACATTTGTTTCAAAATGTTTCCAGTATTTTATTTGCTTTTTTTAACAAATGCGGAGCACCTGAAGCCAAATGTTTATTTTAGCAAATCAGAGAAAAGTTATATATATATTTTTTTATTTCCCATGAGCATGTTGTAATAGTTTTTAAATAATTTAACATAATTTGAACCAGCATTTAGTCAATATGGATCTATAACGGGCTTAATAATACAAGCAGATCGATGAAGCATTACGCTTTAATCAATACGTCTTACACAGTCCAGGTGTTTTAATTTTGTTCGATACCTGGTGCAGCGAAGACTTCCTTTTCCCACCCTGGCGACACACATTTATAGATTTCCATAGGGTTCACTCTTTTGTGTTTCAATAGGAAAAAGAAACGTGAAGAAGAAACGCTGCCATCCTGCAGCAGCAGAAAAGCTGTGGGAGTCTGGGAGGCAGCTCGGATCACACAGAGGTCATTTTTAAACAGGGCTCTCCGGTTGCCTGTGTGTGAAACCAAAGAGTCTGTGGTGACATTTGTCAGCAGATGGTATGGAACCGAAACCCGCACCAGTGGGGACGCCTTAGCTGCTCCTAAAAGCTCTCTGTGGTTACTAATTGCTGACCAGAGCCTAATTACCTTAATTAATGGTGGAGGTTTCTCTGGGCCAGATTTGCGGGGGCTTTTATCAGTATCAGTGCAGCTTAAAAGGTCCCACAGGAGGCCCGAGGAGCATGGAAGTCTCATGGGTGCTATTTCTGGACTAACTGCAGACACATCACAGATGGATCCTGTGGCATCAGTACAGGACGGCGTGTTTGGAGAGAGGTATCTTACTTACAGATCAGAAGGAATTCTCACTAAGAGAGGGGAGGAAAAAGCTTTCTCTTGCCTTTCTCTCCTCTCTCATCCACAAGGCCACTTCCTGAATTATACCGCCGTAATTCACAATGACAAAGTAGACTTAGCACCTTTTTCCTGCAGACCGTGGGGGTTTTGTTCAGCGGGCCCTCACTGTGAAATTATCCCAGGTACTTTCATTTTCCAGCTGCAGTGAAATGGTTAAAAGACACAGACCATCCAGTATGAAAATAGGACTGATTCAACAAAATCTGCTGCCTCCCCCTCCCCCTTAACTCATCCAGCCACAAAAAAAAAAAAAAAATCAGAAAAAAAATTCCCAATTCTCCCCATTTCTTTTCTTACTCTCCACTCCACCTCCCACCCACCCCCGCAGCCCCGTCAGGCACCTTGTCCACGTCTGAAGAAGGCTTGTAAGTTTCGGGTGCATACATTTCTTTTGATGATATATTGTCCCGGTGCGGAATTTCATTTACTGCTGCTGCCCTTTGCTGAACCTGTTGCTAGTCAGTGAGCACGATAAGCGTATAAGTAGCATGCTACTTCATTCATCATACATCGTTCTGGGCTCTCAAATATCTCATTTGCGATTCAGGAAGAAACTACTAAACCGGCACAAAGGATCCCACTAGGATCAGCTGAGGGTCCATTAAACACTGTGTACAAAACACAGCAGACTTACACATTTTCTTTGCTGCTTCTAACAAAAAAATTACCCTTCATTTCAAGGTGTACACATTGTTTATGAGGCAGGGGGATGTGTATCTCAAGTGCAGTGTAGTACATAATTCCATGTGCATTTGAATGCATTTTGAAATCTGTTTTTTTCCCCTCAGTCATAGTGGCTGCTCTGTGTTGTATTAAACAGCATTAATAATCACAAGAGGCTCAGTGTCACTCAGAAGTCTCCACATCACTAAGGCAGACAGTGTTGTGCTGCTGGGCATGTTGTGCTGTGTGAAAGTGCTTACACGCTCCCTCAGACAACCAAAGGGAATAATTAAAGGCAGAAGATGTAGGCAGAAGAATGGAAAGCAAATCCCATTGTTTGGGGTTATTTCATCCCACTGAATTTTCTTCTTCTCACTTTTCTTTTGCACTCTTCTCACATTCCTCCCCAAATGCACTGTGGGTGCGTGGCACGCTATCAAAAGCATATGTAAGCGAAGCGGCACAGAACAAAAGCCCTATGATGTCCCTCTCAAACCCACATTGTCTTTTGATTATTCTACAATCGTTTTATATCTGTGTAAGACGGGAAGGAATGGAAGGCTTAATAACCCCATAATATACAATACTGTAGCGGCTCAGAAGCCCAAATGCAAGATGAGTTTTTAGATAATTTGCTCCTTTTTTTTATCTAATGGTGTAATTCTCCACCTCCTCAATATCCAAGCTGCTACAGAAATAATCCACAATGAAATTCAAATTTAAACTGAACTAGACTATTAGGGCAACTCTGCACCACTCCATTACTAGCACAGTAAATGTAGCCGCTCAATCTCTCAGCTTTTACTGTCAGTCAGAGAGCACTCAGTCATCTCCGTGCATCAGGCTCGCAATATTGATTTTTCCACCCACTGAAACAGCCGCATGAACATAAATTTTGCATGAGGCTTTTACTCGCGGCCTCCGCTTTGGTCTGACGACGCATGATGGGACCGTGAACACACTGTAATAACCCGGTCTGTCCTGCCAGGCAGACAGCCTCTCTTTTCCAACAAGGGGAGGGGGTCCAACACCTTCTGGACTCTGAAGGACGAAAGCAAGAGACCCCCTCAGTGGCTTCCAGAATTACTGACTGAGCTCGGGGGGAAAGTGGGGCTAAAGGATATGTGGGAAAGGTGGAAACAATCTTCAGGTTGGAGCTTTCATTTCAATATTAGAGTTGTTTTGATGTTTTGCTTGGAAGTTGTTAAATTTGGGTTTTGATCATGTTCGTCTTGAGTCTTGAAAATGCTCTTTTCACAATTAGATGACTTTAGATGACAAAGTGCACATTGAGGGAAAGAGAAGATAAATGGTTTGAGAGACGAGTAAAGGAAGCCATCTATGTCAGATGGGAAAGATGGACATTAAACAGAGGAGGAGGCCTCAGGTTTCACCTTTCCAGTACCTACAACTCTAAACCTAATTCCAAACTGTTTAAAGAGGTCACACCCTCCTGCATCTAATCAAAACATCCATTCTAACACAACAGGACCTAACAACATCAACAACTCCCCAGGAAGTAGGGAGGGGGTATTCATAGGTAGTTTCAGCTCATTAAGCAACAACAGACAGCTACAGTTTATAAGCATGACTCAGAATTGACAAAGATCCTCAGATGAGAAGCAAAACGTCTTCATTTGGACTGGATTACCATAACCTGGATGACTGAGAACCTTCATCAGCATGTTCTTTTCACAATTTAACCACAAAAGCTTCGTTGCAACTATAGTAGAGCCGGGAAATTACCAGGAGGGGAGAAGGTGGCAGAGAAAATACGTTGGCGCGGTCTTCTCAACAGCTGTCTCCATACAAAATCAGGGCTGTTTTATTTTGTTTTAGTTGCAGAGACAATCAAAGAACCGGAAATTAGAACAAAACAGTCCTGTGTGGGTTTTTTC